GCCCTATTGGTCAAGGTGGTCTCAAACTCCTGACCTCGTGATCCGCCCGCCTGGGCCTCCCAAAGTGTTGGGATTACAGGCGTGAGCCACTGTGCCTGGCCTACTTCTTGCATTTAACCACATGGTTCCTTAGACTGTTGGTTCACTGCTAATATGTCTGTCCTCTCCCAACAAGATGGCAAACTGTATTAGCATGCCATTCTTCTCCTTGCTTGGGGAATTGCAAAGGACTGTGTGTTTAAGGCACTCAATAGGCAGATTATTGCTTAAATGATTGCATGAGATGTCTGTTTCATTATGTTGGAAGGCACCAATGCAGTTTTCACAGGTGCATCATTTAAGCAAATCTAGCCAAAATATCTTCCTTTTTTATGTAAAGGATTCAAGGAGTTGGGGTGTAGAGGGCAGGCAGTACTTACACATGGTGAATGTGCATTACATGTTTTTGTTTTGTTTTGTTTTCTTGAGATGGAATTTCATTCTTGTTGCCCAGGCTGGAGTGCAGTGGCACAGTCTCAGCTCACTGCAACATCTGCCTCCTGGTTTCAAGCAACTCTCCTGCCTCAGTCTCCCAAGTGGCTGGGATTACAGGCATGTACCACCATGCCCAGCTACTTTTTGTATTTAGTAGAGATGGGGTTTCGCCATGTTGGTTGGGCTGGTCTTGAACTACTGACCTCAGGTGATCCACCCACTTCAGCCTCCCAAAGTACTGGGATTACAGGTGTGAGCCACCACACCCGGCCTTTTTTTTTTTTTTTTTTTAAAGACGGAGTCTCGCTCTGTTGCCTAGGCTGGAATGCAATGGCACGATCTCAGTTCACTGCAACCTCCGCCTCCCAGGTTCAAGAGATTCTTCTGCCTCAGCCTCCTGAGTAGCTGAGATTACAGGCACCTACCATCATGCCTGGCTAATTTTTTGTATTTTTGTAGAGACGGGTTTCACCATGTTGGCCAGGCTGGTCTTGAACTCCTGACCTCAGGTGATCTACCCACCTCAGACTCCAAAGTGCTGGGATTACAGGCATGAGCCACTATGCCCGGCCCAATTACATGTATTTCTAAAGTAACCAAATGGGTTATTTCTATTACCAGTTCCACATAGGTGATAGAACCTCCAGGGTAGTCTCCTATGAAGAATGGGCTTCACCCTAAGCCCTGCTCCCACCACCCATCCACTTCCCCATCTCCTGGATGCCTGTCTTGCCACAATGGGTACTGCCAGGCACCTCAGTTCAGCAGCCACACCTGGTATACCACCATGCGTCCCTTGAAGATGGACATAAGATGAGGCGGCTCCTTGCCCATTGGGACCCGGATCTGGACTGGTTCACCATTGTACTTCTGGTCCAGGATGACGGCTTGATAAGCTGATGCTGTAATTTCATCTTGGCTGGCCTGGCTGCCCTGGGGATGAGCAGGAGGGAGTGAATGGGATAGGGTCAGCCCCCAATTCTGACCCCATCCTCAGCCTCAGCAACAACTCCATCCCCAAGTCTGACCTGGTCCTAAACCCAATTTTCTTCCCCACCAAACTCCACTGTGAAACAGCCAAAACCCCAATCTGACCCAGACCTCAGTTCTGATCTCAACCTCAAACCTAATTCTTTCGCAGACCCAGCCCAACCCTGACCTACCTGCAACCCCAGCTTTAACCCCAAACCTCCTCCTTTCCTTACTGCTCCTTCTTCAGGGAAGCATCACAGGCACCACACCACTCACTCCTAGACACACTCCCTGCTCCCTCACATCTAGACACAGAATCCCACGGGCAGAGCAAGTGATAAGAATGTGCAGAAGGCAATGAAAATTGGAAGGGAGACTCAGAGAACCAAATGGAAAAGCGCTGTGAATGGGGGTACTAGCTGGACCTCATAGCCAAAGCAGTCCTTCTTGAAGCGGTGAGATCCCCATCCCCAGAGGTATTCAACCCAAGGGTGATGGCCACTTAGCAGGAGTATGTACAAGGTGGAGCTAAGCCGGCTATGCTCTGGGTGGGACGTGGCGGGACCTGACCTGCCAGATGTACAGCAGGTAGTGCTGCTTGTTTCCGATGAGGTAGGTGTAGAGCAGCAGGTAGCAGTCACCCCCATAGAAGTGGCCTAGCCACTTGGAATCCACAGGTACCAGCTCTAGGTTCTCAATGCGCCACACCTAGGGCCAGTATCAGGCCAGGGTGAGGTCCGGGAACAGGTTCCACCATCCCTGCTCCACCCAGCACGGGCCTCTCTGCCCTCACATACCTGCACTTCCCCACTCCCATCATCTACCATCTTCTGCTGGGCAGCCACCTGAGGCTTGACATGCATGGATGTGGCATCAAACTTCACCTGTTCCACTTTGGCTAGAGTAGGGGAAATCATGACACCAATTGTTACCAGCTGAGGCCCCCCAGGTCCTCACAACAGCCCTGAATGGTGGCTACAATTCTTAGACCCATTTTCAGATGAGGAAACCGAAGCAAGAGAGATTCAGTAGCTTACCTGGTTGCACAGAATGTGGCAGAGCTACAGTGGAGAACCATATCTCCTTCCCTCTAAAACTCCTGCTTCACCAGTGCCTCCCAGGGAGCCAAGAGAGGCATAAGAGCAAGGTTTTAGCTTTGTTGATCTACATCCTGACTCCTGCAGCATTCAGACTTCAAGCCTTGACCTTGTCTCCCAGCTCAATAGGGAGCTCTGCAATGATGGAGGCTGTACACTATTATTTCTCCTCTCCTAGGTGCCGGGCACCAAGCTTGCCCTCAGCAAATACTGGCGGGTAAGAGACTGAGCTGTTTGGTTTCCAGGGAGGCCCAACCCCTTCCCAAATGAAACATCACATCACTCTCAGCTCCCTTTTTTTTTTTTTTTTTTTTTTTTTTG